AGGCGTGGGATTACAGGCTGAGCCACCGAGCCCGGCTTGACATTTTTCTTTTCCTTTTTCTTTTGAGTTGGAGTCTCACTCTGTCGCCCAGACTGGAGTGCAGTGGTCGCTCCCGGCCACCTCTACCTCGCCCTGCTGGGCTCTGGTGATCCTTTCGCCTCAGCCTTCCAAGTAGCTGGAACTACAGGCTACCACACCCGGCTAATTGTTTTAAACAAATTTATTGTAGAGATGAGGTCTCACCAAGCTGCCCGGGTGGGTCTTGAACCCACAGGCTCAGGCAATCCATTCACTCCGGCCTCCCAAAGCACTGGGATTACAGGCTGAGCCACCGAGCCTGGCCTCTGATATTTCAAAGAGGAAATGATGTCTCCTACTTGTCTACGCAGTCCAGGGGCCTACCATTTAGCTTGTCTGTACCTCAGTTTCTTCAGTCTTTAAAATGGTTACAATACTCGGTGGACAGGGTTGTTTGAACAGGTGAGGTCATATTAACATTAGCATTGGAATTCTGGCTACCCAAAGCCCCCACCTGTGCAAAATTCCACCTGCCATCACAGCCGTTTCTGGAAGTTCCTGGCGAACCTTGCTGCTCTGGTCTCCTGGAGGACAGCCCGTCAGAAGCTGAAAGGGTCTTCCGGTCGCTGGCTGAGGCCCAGTTGCTGTTGCCATCCATGAGGATGCTGCGCCCTGATACTGGGCACCCTCCTGCAGGGTCCCCAAGCTTCCTTACGCGTGGGAAGAAGCCCCCATGTCCCCTCCCACCCCAGCGTTCCATTTGGTTCTGCATCAAAAACATCTGCTTTCTCCCCCGTTCCTCCTTCTGTAGGGTAGACTTGGACTAGGCTGGGCTGGGCAGGCATCCTCTGGTGCTCCAGCGTTCCCCTTCCCCCCTGGGTCCCTCCATCCGCCTCCTCCTTTTTTATTTTTTGTCTTTTGAGTTGGAGTCTCACTCTGTCGCCCAGGCTGGAGTGCAGTGGCTACTCCCGGCCACCGCAGCCTCAACCTGCTGAGCTCC